TGCTCGAGCTCAAGGGGCTGCAGGAGGAGCCGGTGGAGGGCTTCCGGGTGACCCTGGTGGACGAGGGCGACCTGTACAACTGGGAGGTGGCCATCTTCGGGCCCCCCAACACCTACTACGAGGGCGGCTACTTCAAGGTGAGCCCGCGGCTCGCAGTCCCGGTTCCCACCCGGCCTCTGTGCCCGCGGCGGTCCGCGTCTCCCTCGGTCTAGCTGGTGGTTCTCTGGGCCACCCCTTCCGTCCCTGGAAGCAGCTCCAGGCCCCCGCCTTCCCGGCCGGTCTGCCGGATCCCCGGAGAGAGGGCTCGGGGCGCTCCCTGTTTGTTTGGGTGTGGGGCTCGTGCTTACCTCAGCCTCTGGCGGACCCGGGCCCTCAGCTGCCTTCCCCGCCCCCTGCCCGGAGGAGACAAAGAGCCTCCCCAGACCTAGCAAGCTCTATTGTTGGGGAGCACGGGGTTGGGGAAGGGAGGGAGGGAGGCCAGACTGGGGGGGCTGCTCCGCCACTTGTTTGGGTTCCAACAAAGGCTCAGATGGGGCCTTGCCAGCTGGGGCCTGCTTGGAAAGCAGCCACTCTTCCCGATAGCAGCCGGCCAGGCCCACTTGGCTTCCTCTGGAGCTTTATGTAAGTTGTTCTCTAGGGAACGTTGAGGCAAGACTGGGGCATCACTGCCACTCTCCACTTTGTCCCTGGGAGCCACACCTCAGAGAGCAACCCCACGGACCCGGGACCCGGGACCCTGGCCTCCAAACCTGGGGCCCCTCTCTTGCCGCAACTTGCTTTTCTCAGGTTTCGCCGAGCAGGTGTCCTTTTGGGGCTCAAATCTCACGTCTGGGTCGTTTTCTCTGTCCCCTGTGATAGTTTCATCCCGGGCAGTTCTTTTCTGGGAGCAGGGAGGGGGTGCTGGCCCTGGCACTGGCTGTGTTTCGTGCTAGTGTGACAGAAGATCTGAGCCAGGACCCAGGCAGCTTTCTTGATCTCACCATTTGAGCCCCCACGTGGCCTTGGAAGGACCCTTGTCAGATTGTAGGGCTTTGCTCTTTGAGCCAGAGGGATGGGGCAAGGGGTCTGCCTGCATGAGAGGTGGGGAAAGGGCCCTCAGCCTGGGAACACCCTCCCCCAGCCCTGCCAGGTTGGAGGGGGGGGGGGCGGGCAGAAACCACAGCTAGGCCAGGCTGTGGGGGAGGGGCGGGTGATACTCCCAGGACAGATGTCTGCGTTTGCACTTTTGGCTCCTGTTTTAGCTGAGCCTGCTCAGTGGCTGTGAGGGAGCAGCCTGGTCTGCTGGGGGTGAGTCCTGAGTTGAGATTCCCCTGGTGTTGGGGTGGGATGGGGGGAGGACTGTGGACCGCTCCCGCCTGAGTTGTGCATCAGCAATCCGGCCTCTTGCGTGCGGGGACTGGATTTGGGGTTGATCACCTAATGGTCCAACTAGATCCCTCCCCCAGCCTCCTTTGTGTGCTTCAGGCTGGAGGGATGGGAGCTCCATTCAGAGCCGGAGGTGGAGTCCCACCCTGAGGCAACAGCGAGACTAAGAGACTAAGTGAGCTCACAGATCTGGAAGGAAAGGATGTGGGCTTCTGACTCTTGCTCACTAACTGGTTGCAGGGGATCCTCCACACTAGGGTTGGGGGATTGTCTCGTTTTTCTGGAGAAGAATGGACTGGGGGTGGGGCCCTGCCAGATTCGAACACATCTGCCATAGGTTGTGTTGTGTCCTCAGAGAAGCCGGCGGGGGACCCGGGGTGGTTTTGGCACCCACCCTGATCCTCCTGTCGAGGCGTGACTGGGTGGGGAGACCCTCTGCAGCAGGTGTGGAACACCCAGACTGGGAAGTGCCTGGCGGCGCCTTCCTTGTCCTTCATGGGCCATGGTGAGCATTTGGGCAACGCAGTGTACTCAAGGGGGTGCCAGAGAGACGCGGTTCAACAACCTCCTCTCAGCCTGCTTGCTGTGTATCCTTGGGCAAGGTACTTTCCTTCTCTGAGCCTCAGTTTACTCAGTAGTGAAGGCATCTCTGGGGACGCTTGAGACAAGATGAGGTGGGACTTGCTGGGTGTTTGAGAACAGCTGTCCTCGGGGCCATCGCTTAGAAACCTGTAGGGCAGGTTCTGAGCTCCGGGTTTGCTCTGCAGTCACCAGTAAGTTACCTGCCTCCCAGGCCTCAGCACAATCACCCAGGAACAGAGGGGCTTCTAAGTGCCCCCGTGCCCCTGCCCAGGAGGGTGACTCTCCAGAGATGGGCCTGGGAAGCTCCGGCAGAGGAGCCCAGCTTTGGCTCCCAGCACACTGGCTCGCCCGGGAGAGCCTGGAGCACCACCAGGACCCTAGGCCAGACATCCCCATGTCTGGGACTGGGGCTCAAGCCGCAAATGAAGCTCCTTCACCTGCTGAGGCCTTGGCAGGCAGCCCTCCCCAGTCTGCCCCAGGACCTTCCTGTCTGCCTTCCTGGCCCCCCAGGATGGATGCTTGTGGGCAGAGAGCCCATCCGTCCAGCGCTGACTCATCTCCTCCCACAGAGCCCAGCCCACAGAGGTGTCGGGAATGATTGCCGAGTGAACACACATCTATTTTTAACCTTCCCCACAGCCTGGAAACTGAGGCCTAGGAGTCGCCGCCATGCTGGGGGTGCACAGCTCCCTGGGGCCTGGCTCCTGGCCCCTCCCACCGGCCTGGGCCAAGAATGGCCTTGGAGTTGCCCTTCAGCAGCAGGAGGGGGGCCAGGGTCCGCTCAGGCCACCCCAAAGAGTCCTGGGGGGGGGGTCTGTGAGGGGTGACCAGCAGGGTCCAGGCGGTCCTCCTGCAACAGGGGGGTCTGTCCTGGCCAATGTCCTTGTTTGTGTGTTCGTGGGCACAGTCCCTGAGCAGTGGCCAGCACTGGCTGAGCTTTTCTGCTCTCTGCCCCTCCCCAGGCACGCCTCAAGTTCCCTATCGACTACCCCTACTCCCCGCCAGCCTTCCGGTTCCTGACCAAGATGTGGCATCCCAACATCTACGAGGTGAGCCCACCGGGCAGGCCCCTCCCGGCTCCCCTGTAGTGAGGAGGGCACTGCGCTGCCTGGTGGCAGTGCTGTGGGCGCTGACCCCTCTCTCCTGTCCTCACACAGACGGGGGATGTGTGCATCTCCATTCTCCACCCCCCAGTCGATGACCCCCAGAGTGGGGAGCTGCCCTCAGAGCGCTGGAACCCTACGCAGAACGTCAGGTGAGGCTGGGCCAGACCCTGCGGGAGGGACTGGTCAGCACGTGGACCCCTGGCCCCCGCAGCATTCCTGACCTTGCTCCTTCGGGGCCTCTTCAGGGCCACGACTCGCCAGAGTACCGTGGCTCCTGTCCAGACTGGCCTCCCACCAGGATACTGGGGGCCCCAAAGACCCCAGGACCAGTTCTGCTAGCCTCTCCTCTCATTTCTTGGTGCCCCCTGCCCCATCCACCATGAGGAACAGCCTCTGGGAGTCTCGGGTCTGTGTCTTCCCTCCCATGGCCCCTCTGCCTGCCCCTGGGATCTCCCGTCCGTCTCAGGGCTGAGCTGCTCATCCTGAGTGGGCTAGCCTCCCTGCCTCGCAGCCTGCACGTCTTTAGTCCAGCCCGAACTATTGTAGAAGTTGGTGACACAGAGGGACCTGTTTGCCCGCAGGATGCCTCGGGGATAGGGACATGTGGGACAAAGCTTCAGCTGCTCCCACGTCATGTTGTCCTGGGAGCTGGGCAAGCAGGTGGATGGACTGGTGGGGGGGGGTGGGGGTCGGACCCTGCTGTTCTTGGGGCCTGAGACAAAAAGGGACAACGAGAAGTCCAGTCAGATGTCATCTGCAGCGTTGGGGGGCTGTGAGGGTCCCCAGGCAGGTGCTGGCTTCAGAGTGTCCGGAAGCTCCCCAGTGACGCTTGGGCCTGGGCGTAGCCTGAGAGCCCAGCTCCTAGGTGGGTGGCGTGGGCCAAAAACGCCCTGCACCTGTTGACTCCCTACTTCCCTAGGACCATCCTGCTGAGCGTCATCTCCCTCCTCAACGAACCTAACACCTTCTCGCCGGCGAACGTGGATGCCTCTGTGATGTACAGGAAGTGGAAAGAGAGCAAAGGCAAGGACCGGGAGTACACAGACATCATCAGGTGAGGAGGGCTTCTGTGCAGGCCCACACACCTCCAGCTTGCTCATGGCCAGCAGTCCCAGTAGGGACTTGCAACCCTGGGAGGAGCCAGCCAGCCTGAAGCCTACACCTTGGTTCTTCTGCTGGTCTCCTTCCCTCAACCTTGCCCCCCCCTCCCTTTTTTTTTTTTTTTTTAAGAAAATGGGTGTTCTCTTTCTCTGTCGCACGGTGAGGTGCCCCAGCGTGTGTCGCAGATGTGTAGCTTAATGCCTGTGAGATGTGTAACACGGTGTGTGCATTCAGAGCACCTGTGGTGCACGTGTGTCGCACACAGACCTGGTGGCACATACATACAGAAGCCCCTGAGTGGTGACCGCCAGGCTTTAACAAGGGTTCACTGCGGTTTCTTTGCTTTGTAACTAAAATAGCAGAGACTCTCCCGGCCTTGCGTCTGCCCCCACCTCTCTCTCCTCCCTCCTGGGGAGCCTCTCCCAAGCATTGCGGGGCCTCCTGTCTGCATTTTGGCCCCTGACGCCTATCTGCAAACGCTCCGGGACCACGGTCCTTCGGGTACCTGCTCCTGACATCAACTCTGTTTTCCGACTTTCTTTTGGGGGGGAACATATGTTTTGTGTACTACTGAGGCCTGGTTTATGTCACGTTGTATCTTCTCTGCTCAGTGGTTTCTTGCTGTGAACGTCATTTACATTTGTAATTTTGAAGCTTGGAATCATTTCCTAAAGGCAGAAAATGGTCATGATACTAGCGCATTTAGAAAATTGCTCTCTTTTCTAGAAAATAAGTTTTGTCTGGTTAGGAAAGCGATGCATCGCTTGGGGATTGGCCAGGACTAACCCTCCACCCGGCAGGTGGTCATTTCCAGTGCTCTCCCCTTCCGAACAAACAGGTGAGCACCCTTGGAAAGGGACCTCTGCACAGGATGGACACTCAGCGGGCAGGTGCGGGACCAGGGTGGGAACCTGGTCTAAGGCCCTGGGTGTACACGCTGTCCGCTTAGGGCCTAGCGGTGCTTGTGCTTGACCCCCTTTTCTCTCTCCCTGGATTTGTGTGAGCTGCTCTGTGTCTGTTGTCCATTGTTACCTTTTAATGCGGGTTTACTGACTCGTTTCATGGCAGACTTAACCGTTTGTTAGGTTTTTCTAGATACCCTTTCAGTTTGTCATTTTTTTTTTCTTTTTTTTTTTTTTTTTTTTAATTTTTTTTTTTCAACGTTTATTTATTTATTCTTGGGACAGAGAGAGACAGAGCATGAACGGGGGAGGGGCAGAGAGAGAGGGAGACACAGAATCGGAAACAGGCTCCAGGCTCCGAGCCATCAGCCCAGAGCCCGACGCGGGGCTCGAACTCACAGACCTCGAGATCGTGACCTGGCTGAAGTCGGACGCTTAACCGACTGCGCCACCCAGGCGCCCCTCAGTTTGTCATTTTTTAAGTTTTATTTAGGTAATCTCTACTCCCGATGTGGGGCTCGAACTCATGACCCCAAGATCAAACATGCTTTTCCGACCCTGCCAGTCAGGCACCTCCCCTCCCCCGTCATTTACTTTTTAATTAAAAAAAAATGGGTAAGTCATGTGCACACCTACATTAGGACCCAGCCACTTGAGGTCTGAGTATTTGCCCAAGAGAAACGGGGGCGCGTGTCCACACCGGTACGCACACGAATGTTCAGAACAGTCTCGATTTGCCAAAGCTGTCAACGGCCCAGGCGTACAGCCGCAGGCAAGGAGGGAGCAGGCCGGGGCCTGTCCACGTAGCCTCAGAAAGCACGTTGGTGTCTGTCAGAGAGGCAGAATGTAAAAGACACAGCAGAACCTCCGGGGGTGAGGGGTATGTTTGCGACCTCGCTTGTGGGGCAGCGTCTCAGGACGTCTGTGGGTCAAAACTCACCGCCATGCACTTTAAGTTGCCACAGTTCACACAGACGAAGCCCCAGAAACAACTGTGTGCTGAGAAGGCAACGTGTTCGTGATAGAGAAACACACACATCCCGAGAGAAACGAAAAGGAAGCCCCGTAACACTAACACCTGACAGTTTCTGTGTAGCCTTCCAGACACCCACGTCCACCACCACCCTGCCCTGGCAGCCGCTGATCTGCGTGCTAGAAACGTGGAGAACCGCGCCGTGCACGTGCACGGGCCTCACACGCTGTTCCGCATCGTGTGCCAGAGCCCTTTGCCGCCTCGTGCTTCACGCTGGACAGACGCAGGTGTCCGGGGTCCACAGCCCGTAGCTGCCGTTTCTGTTGATTCTGGTTCTCTTTCCTCTGAGTAAAGTTGTGCCGGTTTTCTTCCGTAGACCTGGCCCGTTTTTTGCTGCTTCCGTGGTATTTTACGTGAGCAGAATTTTCTGAACGATTGCTGCGGTGTTGCACATGTGACCTGAGTGCATCAGAGCCCCCCCAAGCCACACACGCGGCCCCAGGGTGACCCATGCGCATGTAGGGCAGCCCCTTCCCCCGTTTGTTTGTCCCCCGTTGTCGTCCCAGGATAGCTGTCCCCCGATGCCGGGCGGGGTCACAGCCTTGGGTCTGTGGAAGTGAGGAGGCGCTGAGCGGGGTGTCTGCCACGAGTGATGCCGGGTGCTCTGCAGGCCTCCCGGTGCTGCTGCGCGGGACCCTCGTGGGGTCTCGGGGCGAGGACGCTCGGCTCAGCTCCGTGGCGGGGGGTCCTGCCCACATGGCCTGTTCTTCGCCCCAGTTTTTCCCAACACCTCCCACGTGGTGCCAAAATTAAAACCAGACTGTTTTTATCCCTGAAGACTCCCCGTGGGCTGGCTCACATGCGCCCACGTGAGCAAGGCTGTGACGGGAGCTTCTGCCCGCCTGTCCCCCCACCCCCGCCAAGGGTGTTCCCCGCACAACGGGGGCAGAGCCGGCTGACTTGGAGGGTCCCCCCCCCCCAAGTGGGGCGATGCTGCAGGGTGTCCGTCTGGGGTGTCATCTGTGCTGGGACGTGGGCTCTCGGTGTCCACCTGCCACAGCTCATGGGGGTGCCACGCCAAGTCCCCAGGAGAGCTGTCTGCTCTGTCCTGGGCGTGACCCATGGCGCCTGTCACCTCCTGGGCCCGCGTTCCCTTGTCCCCATTTCCCGCTGGCGCTGGCCCTCTTCATCCGCTCCGCCCCTGTCCGGCCGGCACAGGCAGCTGGAGATCTGGTCCAGCCCCGGTCCTGTCGCCCCTGGTGGCTGATGTCTGCCGGCTTGAACCGCAGTAGTGGCTTCACCCTCCCACGGGGTGCCGCCGGTCTCCATGATTTCCTCTCTGGTGGCTCAAGGGGCCCTCCCCTGTGGCGTCTGTGCTCCTGCCTGCAGGGCCCCGAGGAGACAGAGCGGTGACCTGTGGGCCCGTGTCTCCCGCAGGAAGCAGGTCCTGGGGACCAAGGTGGACGCGGAGCGGGACGGCGTGAAGGTGCCCACCACGCTGGCTGAGTACTGTGTGAAGACCAAGGCGCCAGCGCCCGACGAGGGCTCAGACCTCTTCTACGACGACTACTACGAGGACGGCGAGCCCGAGGCTGAGGCCGACAGCTGCTTCGGGGACGACGAGGACGACTCCGGCAACGAGGAGTCCTGACAGGGCGACCCCAAGAATAAACGTACAGATTTTACCTCAGCAGCCCCGGACTGTGTGGCGAGACTGCCCCATGGGAGGGGTGCTGCCCGGCCCCCTGGGTGGTCTCCTCCCGGGCGTCGCCCTCCCTTCCCGCGCGCGTGTGTCCCGGGTCCCTTGCAGCCCGCCAGGTGGGGCGGGCCTGGGCGGCGGTGGCCTGAGGGACGCGGACCCACCCGTGTGCGTGTTCAGCTCCTGCTGGCCGAGCCAGAGACTTGGGCCTGCGGCTCGCGCTGACGGATTCACTTGTGGTCACCTCTTCTCTCTGCTTTGGTTTGTTTGGAATCTAAATAAAACGACTTTATGAGAAGCTACAGAACCAACTGTCTTTGGCCTTCCCGAAGGACCGCAGAGAGCGGTGGGCCACCAGGTGCCCCTTCTGGGCCGGGTCACGGCCCCAGATTCTCGGGGCCAGCTGGTCTGCTGGCGGGGCCGGCCATCGGGCCCCAGGCGGCCCCCTCTGTGGCCGCAGCACCCCCAAGGAGTCCTGTGTGCTGGTGTCACCCGGGCCCGGTGGCTTCATTTCAGTGTAACTGTAAAGTCCAGAGTGGCCTGGGCTCAGGGTCAGATGGCATCAGGACTGAGGTCCCCCCTTGGGTCAGACGAGCACGCGCCCAGCCTGACCAGTCACTGCGCCTGGGGCTCAGACGACCCCACACAGGTGGGGGACGGGCCAGAGGGGCAGGTACATCCAGGGTGCACACAGATCCCCACGGCGGCCTGCACACGCCTCTCCCGGTTTGCCCTCGCGGTCTGGTGGTGTTTTAACCTGAATGATGTTTCTCCATTAAAACGTGGAAGGTTTCACCCTTCATCTCTGGCTTTTCTTAAACCCGGAGGGAAGTGCAGGGCGGGGAGGGGCCCCTCTGGACTCAAGTGGTGTTCTCGGCGGGACTGTGGCGGCCACACCTGTTCCCGCTCCTCCTGCACCTAGTTTGGGCCTCTGAGCTCTGTGGTGTATCCCCAGCGACCCAGCCTCCAGAGTGGGAGCCTGGGCGTGTGACCCTTGCCCGTGTGCTGAGCAGGTGCAGGCAGGGCCAGGCCAGTGGCTCATGTTTATAACCTCCACAGGGCGCCGAGGCCAGGCTGGGCACTCCCTTCACCTCAGCCTAGAGGCATTTCCGGGGAGCGGTGTGGGGGGCTGGCAGCCTGCACGAGAAGACCTTGGTGGAGGTCTGGAAGCAGACGGCACGGTGGGGTGGCCCGTCCCTGCCCCACCCTGTCCGGGTGTCCTCACAGCACGGCGGCACGGGCTCCGGCGGGAGGACCCCGGGAGCAAGGCCGCTTCAACACTCGGGGGTCACACGCACCACTTCTGCACAGGGCTGGACACGGGCGTGCACCCACCCAGACCCGAGGGGAGGGGCGCGGACCCCACGTCTCCATGGGAATCGTGTTCCCTTCATACCGTCCCCCACACAACTGCCAAGGAAGCTTCTGCACAGAGATCTGACTGATACCTGAGGCCTTGGGGTTCACATCCCATAACCTATCTGCAAAACAGAGATCATAATTAGGGTTGCCCCGGGGGCGCCTGGTGGCTCAGTTAGACGTCCCGACTTCAGCCCTGGCCACGATCTCACGGTTCATGAATTTGAACCCCACATTGGGCTCTGTGCTGACAGCTCAGAGCGTGCTGAGAATTCTCTCTCTCTCTCTCTGCCGCTCTCTCACTGTCTCTCTTTCTGAAAAATAAACCTTAAAATAATTAGGGTTGCCCAGTTAAATATAAATTTCAGATAAATCATTCTTACTGTATATATGTGTATATATAATATGGTGGGTATATATCCTGTGCAGTGTTTGGGACATGTTTAGAAAGTATTTGTTGTTTATCTGAAATTCCAAGAACTCTCTATTTTTAGTTAATTCAATTTGACCGTCCAGATACTAATGGAGCCTACTTCCTGGGGGTGGTTACGGCTAAACTAGACAGGACATGTGAACACACGCTATAAATGCTGATTTTTCTTGAACTCATCCCTGGCCTGACACACCCGACTGGGTGAGGACAGGATGCCACCAAATGGGCGGTAATGGTTTCCAGAGTCTCTGCACCTGGGTGAATTCATCTGCCTGTTGTGATCAGTTGTTTTGGCCACCTCTCCTTTATAATGACCCCTTCGGTAGCAGGACAAAATGCCCAACTCAAACTGACTTAAACAGAAAGGAATTTAATTGGCTTCTGTGAGTGACAAGGCCAGGGATTTCAGGCATAGCCTGATCAAGGCACTGGTTCTGTGCGGTCTCTCCCCAGACCTGTGGTCACCAGAATAACAGCTCCAGAGATGTCCGTGCCCTGATCCCGTAACCTGAGAGCCAGAGCAGGCAGGGGTGCAGGTCTCCCCTGGAGCCTTCACGGGAGCCAGCACTGCCCACACCCGGACGTTAGCCCCCTGAGGCCCGTTTCCTACTTCTGGCCCCATAGCTGTTAAAGAATGAGCTTGTGTGGCTTCAGGCCCTGAATGTGTGGTAATCCGTTAATCCGCTAGAGCTGCAGGAAGAAACCGTCACCTGCCAGGCTCAGCTTCCACTGAGTGGCCCTCGTTCTCAGGTGTGCTCCTGTCACCTTGGGCCCACCCAGGCTGACAGGCTAATCACGGCAAGTCCAGAGGGTGAGAGCTGCTTTGGAGAATCCCCACGCAAGAGGTTCCAGACCACGGTCTTCATTGAGCTGACTTCCTGGGCACCACGGGAGCCCGTAGCCCCTCTGCTGGCCTTGGGGGCCTGTGTGCAGGTGAGTGGGAGTCAGAGCAAGATGGGGACGGCCCCTGACTGTCAACCTGAACCTCTCAGGAAACGGGGACTTGGGGCCACTGCTAGGCTAGTAACATCAGGCGTCTGGGGCCTCAGAGCTGAGGTAGCAACGTCACAGGAGGGGGTGGGGCCCCTGCCCCTAACCTGGCTCTCTCCCCAGGGGCAACACCCTTGAGATTCACATCACCACAGGGTCTGCCCCCCCACTCCTCGCCCATGCTGGTCTCGCTGCAGAAAGCTAGAGCCCGCCTGTGCAGAGCTGGGGGGCAGTCCTCATGCGCTCAGGACTGTGCCTCCCACCTAGCCACAGGGGCAGAGCTGACCCACGAGGGTGGCAAAGTCCACACCAGAGGAACCCGGGGCCTGCATGCCATGGTGAAGCGCCCAGATAAACCCACCCTGGAGCCAGCACCAAAGACCCCAGACTACACTGGTTCGGGTAACCAAAAGGCCCCTGTTGCCTCCTGTAATGCAGAGTCTGGGAGGACACGAGCGTCAGGCACAGCTGGATCCCGGTGCTCACAAGAGGTCCTCACGAACCTGCCGCCTCTCAGCCGTGGGATCACGAAGGCTTTCTCTCCTGGCGGCAAGGACGGCTGCCCCTCGGGTCCCATGGAAAGCGCTTGTTTCTAGTGCCGCTGGACCCAGCCTAGGTTTCATGCTGGCCCCTGGACAAATCGCTGGTTGAGGCAGAGCCCACGCACGGGGCAAGGCCGGAGCCCCTGCCGAGGGGAACCCAGCCAGGGGCTTGGCGTTTTTGGACACACGCCTTCTGGAGTTCGGGGCAGCGGTGGGAACGGGGGAAGACTGGCCAGACAGGAGCCAGGAGGGGGCTGCGGGCTGTGGGGCGTCCCCAGGACACAAGAGCAGCCTTATGCGCAGCATCAGGGCCACGGCCCAGCACCCAGAGCACAACTGGCCTCCAGTATGGAGAATACCTTCAAGATGTTCAAGGTGCTGGGGGCAGGGTGGAGGGGTAACGGCTTGCAGCCCAGGACCCCCCCCCCCAGCCTTCCCATCCTCCACTGCTCTCCTCCCCCCATCCCCACTCACCTACCCCTTCCCGTCACCTGCAGCAGGACCAGAGGCTGCTGGCCTTGGCCCAGTGCCCACGGGAGCCCAGTGCAACACGGCAGGCTGGGCGCTGACCCTCCGGGGTGGGCCCCCACCAGGGCGCTTCGGGGCCAGGCCTGCAAATGCTGAACATCCAGAGTGTGTAATTCAGTGGGTGTTCGTACATTCACCGGGTTGTGTGACCAGCCTCTCTGGAACATTCCATCTCCCCGGAAAGCAACTCTGTCCCCACACAGTCACGCCCCACCGCCCAGCCCCTCCCCCACGAACCCCCTCCCGTCCGTGGATGAGCCTGTTCTGGACGTTTCGCACACATGGACTCACACCCCCGTGTGGCGCCTCGCGTCTGGTTCCCTCCCTGAGCGTCGTGTGTTCAGGGCCTGTCCGCGGGGGCGGCGGGGGTGGGCGCCTGGCTCCTGCTCGCAGCCGAGGGGCATGAACCTTTCGCGGTGGACGTCCACCTTTTGTGTGTGTCCGTCCACCTGCCGATGGACATTGGGGCTGTTTCATTGGCTGCTGTGAGCTGCCTTGAAGCACTTGTCTGCCCACACGCGCCCATTAGGACCGAGGTCCCCACTGGTTTTGCAGGAAGCTATGGTTTTTATTGTTCTTCAACAGACATCCTCAGGTGAGACTGCATTTAGAGGTGTGCTCCCAGGCGCCAAGCAGCTTCCTCTTCCTTCGCGCCGAGGCCTCGAGCCTCGTCAGGGGTCTGGCATGGCTCCGTCTGGCTGCAGATTAGGGGAGGCCCGCCTGCTGCTGTCCCGGGAGAAGGCTTATCTCCCCGCCTGGCTGTTCCTTCCTGGCCCAGCAGGGCTCCTCCCCCCGCCCCCCTCCCCCCCAACTGACCCCCAGCTGAACGGGAGGCCACCGACAGGAATAAGCAGGTGCCCCACCCTGCCTGCCTGGGGACCCAGCACCCGCCCAAGGTGGTCTCTGATGCTTTGATGACATAGTGTGATCTGGGGCATCAAAGCCACACAGCAGGAACTCAGAACAATGGGACTCTATCTTCCCACATTCTGGGACCAAAAGTCAGAGGTCGAGGTGGGCTGGGCTCCCGCCTCCACAGGCTCCAGCGGGGAGGGTCCTTCCTGCCTCCTCCAGCTCCTGGAGGCCCCGGGTCTCACTTGCTTGTGGCTGTGTCAATCCCGAGTCTGCCCCCATGATCACACGGCCCCTGCTCTGGGTCTGTGCCAGAATAGCCCTTTCGTCCGGACGTCAGCCAGAGGGTAGGGCCTGCCCCGTCCGCTGCTGGCCCTCGTCTCAGGCCCCTCTCCCCTGGGCGGCTCTGATGTCTCCCTAGAACACAGCAGAGGACGGACCGCCCTGGCTCAAACCCCTCCCAGGGCTCCCTAACACCAGAAGAAAACCTGCCCTGTCCTCCTTCCGTCACTGCCTGGAGGGGGTGGATTTCAAAGCTCCCCCTTTCAGAAAAACGCACATAAAAAACTAAGCTGAAACATTTTAGCAGTGGACAGATGGGTAACAGAATGAAAGTCTGATGTCATCTCCTCATCTATGAGTTTGAGGGTTGTTTTTTGTTTTGTTTTCTTTTGTTTTTTTACGCTTATTTAAGTGACCTCTAAGCCCAAAGTGGGGCTTGAACTCACAACCCTGAGGTGAAGCGCTGCAAACGCCTCTGACTGAGCTGGCTGGGCGCCCCTGAGAGGTTTTGGAAGAAAAAGCAGAAGGCAAATGAACCAGAGCGGACGCCGTGTCCTGTGATGGGGCAGGGGTGGCATGCTGGGGCTGAGGTCCTGAAGACACGCTGCCCAGGACAGTCTGGTGGTCACTGGGGTGCAGGGAGGGAGCCAGCGGCACCACACGGCAGGACTCCGAGGCAGGACATGGGCCAGTGAGGCCTGAGGGGTCGGCAGGGGCAAGGTTTGCGGGTCTCCAGAGATGCTGCATCAGAGGACGGGCTCCCTGCCTTCTTCGCACCCACAGCCCGGCTGCTGCACAGAGCAAAGCTGCAGAACCAGGCCAGAGAGCTGGGCTGCTTCCTTGCCTTTCTGTCTGAGGAAGATGTCCAGATCCGGAGTCTGGGACCGTCCCAGTGAGGGTGCAGGCCTAGAGAACAGGGGTGGGGGCGCGGAGTGAGGAGGGTACCCTGTGTCCCTCCTCTCACACCCAGCTGGGTTGGACACGAGGTCACAGAGGGGACCAGTGCAAATGAGGGAAATGACAGCGGGTGATGAAGCTGCTTTTGAGCAGATCAGATATAGAACAGATACATTTTAGCATAAGTCTACCCCAGATACTGCATGGGATAGACTAACACTTTTAAAATCACTCCTTTTTTTTTTTTTTTTTTTTTAAATCTGAAATTCAAATGTACCTGGGTGTCCTGCCTTTCTATTTGCTAAATCTGACAATGGAGTGGCCCTAGAAGGCTTCTCCTGCCCCAGGTGGGGCCAGGACTGAGCAGCAAAGGGATCCATCTGACCAGTGGGAGGAGACAGGGAAGACTTTCCAGAGAGGGAACCAGAAAACTGGGCCTTGGAGAGGACACAGCTTGGTTTTATAAACAAAAGCAAAGACTGCCTGGTGGCCCTAATATTTCCCACGAGATCTGTCCTCAGCCCAGCCCAGGGAGGGCAGGAAAGGGGGCCGTGGAATTCTATCCAGGCCAGAGGGACTTTGAAGCCAGCTGGCTGCTTTCCGCCTCATTCCGCACGTAGCCCTTGAGCCCCGACACTGCCTCCTCCCCACTCCCGACCGGCTGTTCTCAGACTTGCAGCTCACCTCCCGCGGCTGCTGCCTCTCTGAACAGCACAGCCTTCAAGAAGCAGCTCCAATCTAGAGCAGCCCTCCCTTTACCCACAAGGGGCAGAAAAGTTTCCCTGCTTCCCTTTCAGGTGCTTTGGCTGCTCCAATGATTAATGGATGTAAAACAGATGAGCGGGAGAAAAACAAGCAGAAGTTTAGTAGCACATGTACTGAATGGGAGACAGTCGCGAAAACCGAGTAACACTCAGAAGTACGGAAGCCATCACCTTCAGAGAAAGCCAAAGATGACGCTGGGGGTGGGGAGTGTGTTATGGGAGGC